GTGCTTTTCTCTTTCCTTTTCGTTGTAGAATTTTCACTCAGCCAGCCTTCCTGTGGTTCTGGGTGATGTCCGTTTTGTCTTTTAGTTGTAGTTTTGAAGTGGTTGTGCGAGCAGCAATTTCAGGTATTTACCTATGCCGCCATCTTGGGTTTCTCCCCCTTGGTTTTGTTTGTTTTTTAATTTCCAATAGTGTGAAGCTAAAACTTTTGTAAAATATAATGAAAGTTTCATGGCAATATGAATACTCTCAATTGCTTTCCTTCTTGTGAATGGGTTGTAAAGTGTTTGTAGATTAGCACCAATCTGTGTGTACATTTTGAGAATTTTAGAGATTTTGTCTATGAATATTCTGTAATAAATTTGTATAATTTTTGAAATTAAGGAAAAGAGGTTTAAAAATGATTCATATAGTATTTACAACAATTGGGAATTGCTTGATGGAAAAGAAACGTGAAATTTGTCAAGACTTCCACAATTAAAAATTCTTTTGGGGGGTGTTTTTATATCATAATATTCAGAGAGTATGTTTAGTTAGGGCAAAGATAGTCAATCAGTTGCTAGCATCCCCACCACCACCACCAGTTTCATACCCCGGGCAGATGGCCTCAAAAGTCCTTCCTGTGGATCCCTGACACAGCCTCAGAATCCTTAATATAATCCTAATGGAAGCCACCACCATTTAAAAAGAGTTGGTATCAAATGTAAAACCAACTTATCATACTAAATTATGTTCTGGAGATATTTAGAGTATAATTGTATGATTACCTTAATTTTGTATTTCTTTCTTTTTTAAAAAATAGCCTTTCTGATTTATCAAGGTTCTTAACAAACTCAAATCAAAGCTTTTCATATGCCGGTCTCATCACATGTATACTATTCAAAATCTTAATTATGGTAAAAGAAATTCATATCTTCATTTAACATCATATTTGCTGTGACAAAAATATATCTTCAGCTGAAGCAGAACTTACAGTAAATACAGCTAGTCATTCTTTAGGGAAGACAGAAAATCAAGTGACTAAAGGTATACCTAGGTTCATGTTTGTCAGAAGTAAAGTCTTTGAGGAACTGTGATCTGTTTTATAGCTTCTTAGTTTCTTTTATTCATTTATTTCATAAGTGTTTATTAGCCACCATCTATGTGTCACACACCATTCTCTTTTTTTTTGTAGAAATGTATGGTAAGGAAAAATTCACAAAATCAGGCACTTTTCCAGACTGTGCTCCCCTTTCTTTAAAGTTGGGATTTATCCTACTTTGTAGGAATATAGCTGGTATAAAATGTGAAAAGGAATGCAAAAAACCATGAAAAATATTAATTGTTACATATAACATGTAATCAGACTTTTTTTTGTTTTTAATCAGAAACCCTAATGATGAAAAATATAGATCTATTCGGATTGGAAACACAACTTTTTCTACTAGACTCTTGCCCGTCAGAGGAGCCGTTGAATGTTTATTTGAAATGGGCTTTGAGGAGGTAAGTCTGCTCAAGAGTTTCTTCTCCTCCTCCTCCTCCTCCTCAATGAATGTATGAAGCATTCATTATTGTGTTGATGGATAATTACCTAAATTAGATTAATATTTTTTAAATTAATTGATCATTGGGGAAATCTGTGGGACTAGTTATTTCTTCACCTATTAGACATTTAAAAGTCACAATAAATATATTGTAAAATCACAGTAAAATATAACAACTCTCCCACAGGGAAAAGTCTCAATGTGAATTGTGAGGTCAGACATGTAACGCAAGGAAGGACCAAATTCTAGCTCACTTTTGACTTTTAGCAAAAACCTGATTTGTGAGCACGCGTGTATACAAATAGGGTGTAACCACCTGTCTCAATAAAAAATGAAAAGATTAAAACAGAAAAAGTGAGCTTAGTTGCCACACATAAGTTCTGTGACAGGAGAAAAGAATCTCAGTCTGCTGGTTTTTTTTGGTGTTTTTAGGTCAAGAGAAATGTATGGTGTCTCTATCTTCTGTCATCTGTGGGATAGTTTAATTGTATGACAGTGAAAGTAGTAATCAAGATTGTGAATTTTCTTTATGTGTATATGCTTAACTATTTATAGTTTGTGGAATACTGAAAAAAGTTGAACCAGGTTATGGAGACTCAGTTGTCAGTAGCAGTCAGAATTGACCAGGCTGTAGAAATTGTTAGGGTGCTAAGTTGCTATAAGATAGACTTTCCAGACATCATCCAAAACCACAGGAAGGCTGGCTGAGTGGAAATTCTACAACTAGAAGGAAAGAGAAAAGTACACTGAGACTCAGAGGAGGTGCAAAAATAAAGTGCAGAGGTACGGAGGCTCGAGCATGCGTGTGTGGAAAGGGGCTGGCAACAGAGGACACCGGTATCGTTTGCAATCGGGAGGGAGGCACAAGCTCCCGATGGCCCTGACTCCAGTTCCGGGTGAGTCTCTGAGGACCCAGACTCATACGGGGAGAAACTGGACTGTCTGGCAGCGGGCAGAACTCGAGGGTGGCTTTTTCGGCTTTCCCTCAGAGGTGCTTGCAGCGATTACCAGGACACTGAGATGCAGGACCTCTTCGGGCAGGACTGGGGATCAGCCATAGCTGGTCGCTCCGCTCTGTTGATTCCCTGAGACCCCGCCCCACCCAAGCTGTGTGCAGAGGCTTTTGCATATGAATGGGTTGGCCCTTTGAGATCTAAAAAATTACCTCAAACTGCAGCTGGATCAGAAAGACCCAGAACATCCAAAAGAAGGCCTAAGGCCCCACAGCAGCTTGCATTGCTTCTCAGCTGGGCCTCATCTGGGCACCTCCAAAACCCAAACAAGGAAAACACACCTGCAGATCTCTCCATAGCTCCTACTGGGTAGCCTGAGGCAGAGGTTAAGTTAGCACCTCCTTAGAGATCCAAGCGCCTGTGTACCCAGTGGGCGGATTGGGACCATCCAGATTACAGCTCCTCAGATCCATAAGGGACACACTCAGGGGGCAAACTCAGTGAGCACCAAAGCCCCACTGAAGCAAGTCTTGCCCCATAAGGGTGTCTTCAGCACAGAAGTTCTCCCACTGT